ACCCGGGGTTGGAACCGGCACTGACTAGGGCTGGCTTGGTCACCTAGCGGCGAGGTTATATAGATATGTAATATTTATATAAGCAATCAAACACATATATAACATATGTATATTATATATATATATATATATATATATATATATATATATATATATATATATATATATATATATATATAAACAAGGAAACACATATTGCCAGTCGCTGATAGAGACACACACTATATGCTAACGTGTATATTCCTTGATCATACCTAAAGAAAAGACAGTTATAACGAGATTAAAATGACAATGAAATCAAACAAAGAAATTTTTAACTAATGTAATGTTTAATCTTGTATTTTCCTTTTCCAGACTAGTGAAGGTTATATGTATCCATATCAGAGGAACTAAGGAGCAAGAAAAAATAAAAAGAACTTCAAAGAATATGAGTGTATGTGAAGGCTATTTTGAAGCTGTGCCTCAGCTGTTCATCCAAATGACTGCTTTGAAAATCGGCATTTTCAAGGGTAAGTTAATCTGCTGAACACACGCGCTCATACACGCAAACAAACACACACACACACTCACACGTAAACACACACACACACACAATCACACGTAAACACAAACATCTCTCTGTCTGTGAAGATAAATTCGCATCTCATGAATGCCATCCTCATGTAGGCCTACCAAGTGATCGCTGGGCGTGGCACCGCCGAGGAACTTTCTCCCTCTGACCCTCTCCTTTCCTGTCACATCGACAGCGCTGACTGTTATCTTTGCTGTTATCTAGTGTTGTGTTTATGGCCTGCTCGATATTCCACTCGCTTTATCCACACCCAGAGCTTTGGTCGGTGCCAAAAGTAGATTTGCGTTGATCAGCATCATCAAGCAGGGATGCCTGTACATATACTAGAATGCGCAATGTAGTAAGATTCATAATTCCAGTATGTCCATTCTGTCGTACCTTTCTCTTAACCCATTATCACATTATCAGATAATATGTATAATATACATATACATATAATATGTATTAATATGTTTATATATATGTATACATACATACATATATATATATATATATATATATATATATATATATATATATATATATATATATATATATATACACATGTGTATATATATATGCACATCCATATGTACACACACACACACACACACATATATATATAGATATCAATATCAATATATATACAGGGCCGGATTATAGTTTGGGGCCCCTAGGCTAATGAAATTATGGGGCCCCCTCAGAATATTTTTTACTCGTGATATATTTTAGCGACATTTATATAGCTTGAAGTAAACTTACTGCAAATTCTTTAAATAAACTAGCATAGCTATCTTTTGTTTGTCAATAAAAATATTCTTTAAATACCACTATTTTACTATATTTCAACACAACCGTAGTGATAAAAACAGATTTTTTATAACCAAGCCCCTCAAGCTTGGGGCCCCCAAGCTTGAGGGGCCCGGGGCTGCAGCCTATACTAGCCCCTAGGATAATCCGGCCCTGCATATATATATATATATATATATATATATATATATATATATATATATATATATATATATATATATATATGTATATATATGTGTGTGTGTATGTGTGTGTATCTATATCTATCTATCAGTTCATTTATATATACATACAGTATATATATATACACAAATATACAACACACACACATATAAATATACACAGATGATTGTTATTTTGCGTGTTTTCCGAATATCGCAGAAGGGATAACATTAGAATGCCCAGTAGTTATGTGGCAGGAAATAGTTGAATGTTTCTGGTCTAGATACAGTACTGAACAGCACTGAAACTTCGGCCAGTACTGTATATAACGGATAAGGGACGAAGATTCACCCTTTTGAGTCCGTTGTGTCAGGGGCGAATTGTTTTGCAGTGTACGTAGTATGGGTCTGGGCATTTGTGTTTACTGTGCACCTGTGTGTATATGCGATTCAGTCTTTACTTTTCAGACTCTCGAGTTATTTCCTCGTGTGTGAAGATGGTATTCAGCTGCGTCACTGCCTCGTTTGCTCTTCTGTCTGTCTTCCGCAAGCAAATGCATTGGCTTCTTCAAGGAGTTTCTGTAGTTCTAGTGGCCATGGTCTTAGGTAAGTCATATTACCTTGTATATGAATATATCAATCCGAAGCACCTTTGTTCCTGCATTTACATGTTTCTTGGGCCTTACATATCCCTTTGCCCATACTTCCATACGGTTAGCAATTTGCTTGGCCATGATAAATAACATGAACCTAACGCTGTTCCTCCAGGGTCGCGAGTCTTCGTGTGTGCGTCTCTGTTTTCCCTCGAAGGTCCCCTGCTCTGCACGGGCTTCCTTCCTCTAGCGCTCAGTTTCTTCCTCGCATGGGTCACCGACTACGTGTTCAAGAGGGAAAAAGTGTCAACTCTCAGAGCATATATAAAAGCTACCCTTCTGCCTCCTGAGGACAAGGCTGGCGGCATGGCATCCCTGGTGTACTG